CCATGTTGACCAGGATGGTCTCGATCTCTTGACCTCGTGATCCACCTGCCTCGGCCTCCCAAAGTGCTGGGATTACAGGCTTGGGCCACCGCGCCCGGCCTAGCATAATATTTTGTTTTGTTTTTTCCAGTGTTCAGTTTCCTTTAATGACCCCTATCTCCCTGAAGGGCAGGTGCAGACAGCTAGGCGATGGCAAGAGATGTTAACTTGAAGAGCTTGCCCTGATTGAAGGCTTCCCACATGCTGGAAGGCCCCCTCCCAGGAAAAGTGCTCTCGAACCAGAGTCTGGGTCTCCTCGCTACCAGGATCCGGGTGCGGCCATGTGTATGACTCATAGTCTACCTGCCAATCTGGACTCAGCGGAAAGGCAAGCACCTTGCCTTGGAAGACCCGGATTCCAGAAATGGAGCTGCTATTGTTGGTTCCAAAGAGGATGACACTGGCGAAGGCATTCTTCCTCAGCTTGTCCAGTCGCTGGAACATTCTAATGATGAGATTGCAGCTCATGAAGGTCTGAGTAAGTTCTTCAGGGAAAGGATACTCTGAGTAACGCAGGGACCAGCTGTCCTTATCGAAGTGCTCCCAGAAATATGGCAGTGCCGCATAGTGTGTCATCACTGGGCTACTTGCACTTAAATTCATCCAACACAAAGGTACTCTTGAGCAGGTGAGCGAAGGGGTCCTTGACCTTGGGTTCAGCGGCCAGCGCCTGCTCACATTCATCAGTACACCTAGGTACTGGCTGGCGGCACTATATCGCTATCAGCAAAGCTTGCCCACTGCACCACCTGGGCTGCTGCCTCTGGAGTACTTCCCCGCAGAACCTCATTGCTTACATAGTAGGCAGTGGCACTGCTCTCAAACACACAGAATCCATTGTCACCCTCAAATGCTGGAAACTTGCCAGCAGGAAATTGGTGGAGAAATTCAGAAACGCAGTTGGTATGGCCAAAGTGGAAGTGGGGTGGTGCAGAGTGCATGAAAACCTGAGCCCCTGCACTGAGCAGCGATGAGGACCTTGAAGGCCCTCCAGTTTTCAGGATATGTGCACAGGATCCCAGCCACCATGGTGATTCCACAAAGAAATGTGTTAAAGGTTCATCCATGTTTTGAAGGTTTATCCATGCTGTGACACATGCTTGAAAACTTCATTCCTTTTTTTTGTTAACAAATACTGTAATATTCCATTGTACAAATATACTACATTTTGTTTAGTTGATCGGTATTTTTTTTGTGCCCTGAAAACTACAAAACATCATTGAAAGAAACTAAAAATCTAAGTAAATGGGGAGACATTTTAATTTCATAGGCCATAAGACATAATATTAAGATAGCAATATTTCAGCTACTCAGGAGGCTGAGGCGGGAGAATTGCTTGAACCCAGGAGGTGGAGGTTGCAGTGAGCCGAGATCGCGCCATTGCACTCCAGCCTGGGTAACATGAGTGAAACTCCGTCTCAAAAAAAAAAGATAGCAATATTCCACAGAATCAGTGAAATCCCTATGAAAATTTGTTCTTTTTTTTTTTTGAGATAGATTTTCTTTCTTGTTGCCCAGGCTGGAATGAAATGGCACTATCTTGGCTCCCTGCAACCTCTGCCTCCCAGGTTTAAGCAATTCTCATGCCACAGCCTCCCAAGTAGCTGGAATTAAAGGCACACATCACCACACGTGACTTATTTTGGATTTTTATTATTTATTTATTTTGACACAGAGTCTCACTCAGTCACCAAGCCTGGAGTATTGTGGCACGATCTCAGCTCACTGCAACCTCTACCTTCCAGGTTCAAGTGATTCTCGTGTCTCAGCCTTCCGAGTAGCTGGGATTACAGGCGTTCACCACCACGCCTGGCTAATGTTTTTTGGTGTTTTTAGTAGAGATGGGGTTTTACCATGTTGGTCAGGATAGTCTGCAACTCCTGACCTCAAATGATCTGTCTGCCCCAGCCTCCCAAAGTGCTGGGATTACAGGCATAAGTCACAATGCCTGGCCTTAATTTTGTATTTTAGTAGAGACAGGATTTCATCATGTTGACCAGGCTGTTCTCAAACTCCTGACCTCAGGTGATCCACCTGTGTTGGCCTCCCAAAGTGCTGGGATTACAGGAGTGAGCTACTGTGCCTGGTCTCAGCTATCTTTTTTGCAGAAATTTGACAAACTGATCCCAAAATTCATATGGAAATGCAAGAGACCCAGAATATCCAAAACAATCTTGAAACAGTAAAACAAAGTTGGAGAAATGAAATTTTCTAATTTCAAAGAGTAAATCTTACTACAAAGCTACAGTAATCATGACAAGAGGATACTGGCATATGGTAGGAATATAAATCAATGGACTATGCTTTGAGAGGCCGAGGTGGGCCGATCACGAGGTCAGGAGTTTGAGACCAGCCTGGTCAACATGGTGAAACCTCGTCTCTACTAAAAATACAAAAAATTAGCCAGGCGTAGCTGTAATCCCAGCTACTCAGGAGGCTGAGTCAGGAGAATCGCTTGAACCTGGGTGGCAGAGGTTGCAGTGAACCAAGACTGCACCACTGCACTCCAGCCTGGGTGACAGAGCGAGATTCCGTCTCCAAAACGAAACAAAACAAAAACAAAATAAATCAATGGACTAGACGCTAGAAATAAAACCTTACAGTTATTGTCAAAGGGTGCTAGGACAGTTGAAGACACACATACAAGAATGAAGTTTGACCCCTCATGCCATATTTAAAAACTGGTATTCATCCAGGCACAGTGGCACATGCCTGTAATCCACAGCCCTTTGGAGGCTGAGGTGGGTGGTTCACCTGAGGTCAGGAGTTCAAGACCGGCCTGGCCAACATGGTGAAACCCTGTGCCTACTAAAAATACAAAAATTAGCTAGGCATAGTGGTGGTGCCTGTAATCCCAGCTACTTGGGAGGGTGAGGCAGGAGAATGGCTTGAACTC